TTCTGCGGTGGCCTACGATGGCTTTAGTTGTCGTCACTTCCAGTACTTGTGTGATGATGCGTTGAACTCGCTCGCCGTCTTGTTTGAAGTTATGGAAGCGCTCGGCGAATTGCCCGAGCAGATTTCTGCTGTGCTGCTCGCTCTTCTCTCGAAGCCCACCGGTGGCTACAGGCCCATAGGGGTGTTCTGCTCCTGGTACAGGGTGCGGGGGAAGCTGCGGCGCCCCTTCGCCCTCGCCTGGGAGCAAGAGCACCCCCGCAGGTACTGGGCTGCTGGTGGGCATCGAGGTGCTGCCGACGTTGTTTGGAGGCAGTCTGTTCGGGCTGAGCACGGCACTGCGTCGAATGAGGTTTCGTGTGGTGTGTTTTACGATATGCTTAAGTACTACGAGACCATCGATCTCGCCAAGTTGATGTCCCAATGTCAGCGACACGGTTTCCCCTCCCCGATTGCGCGCCTTTGCATCTTTGCCTTTCGGCGTGGCCGTTTCCTGTCCCTGGGTGGCATCCTTGCGGGCCCCTTTTTTGTCGAGCGAGGTGTGGTGGCGGGCTGCAGCTTCGCCACCACCCTCATCAGGGTCTTTGCCCTTGACGCGTTCGACTCCATTCCCCTGTCCCCCAGATGTGATTTGGACATTTACATTGACGATTCGGGGATTTCTGCGACGGGCCCTCGTCACCGAGTTATTGCCTCTATTGTTGCCAGCTCGCAGGCCTTGCACACGGCAGTGACCGACATGCTTGGTTGCAGTCTCGCCCTGTCCAAAGTGTGCACGGTCTCCTCCAATAGGGCGGTGGCCAGTGAAGTTGGCAAGCAGCTTGGCAGTCTGGCAGGTAGGATCGAGGATGTCACAGTCAACTTAGGTGTGGACTACACGGCGGGCAAGTCCATTCGAGCCTCAGGTCGGGCTAGTAAGCTCAAGTCGAGGCTGGCTACCATGTGCCGTCGAGCCAAGAGGCTCAAGAGGCTTTCGGGTGATCTCGGGAGAAAAACTCTGCGGGTTTTTTCCTCGGGCCCTCTGGCGGGAGGCTCCTACGGGGCTGACATTGTGGGTGTCTCTGACAATGATCTTTTACTGATGCGGAGGCAAGCCTTCTCGACGGTGCGGCCGTTTTCTCAGGGCAGGAGTCTCACTGCTTGCTGCATTCTAGCTGGAGATCCCACCTGGAGGGCGGCCTGCGCTCCTGTGCTTAGGTGGGGAAAAGAAATATGGCTTGCTCAGACTAAGGTCTTCCCGCACTCCCTGGCCCTCAAGGAGCTTAGAGATTCTTGGAATGCTGTCTGGGGCCTTAGCAGGATCAGTTGGGGTCTCGTTGGGGGTCCTGTCTCTGCCCTCAGGCTTTGTCTTGTCAGGTTAGGGTGGCACGCGGACAATTTCATGACCATTATTGATGACAGGGGGTACCACATACCCCTCGGCGTGACCTCCCCTGCCCTCTTGTGTATTTTTTGTCGGGAAGGTATGATCAGAGCTCTGGAGAGGGATCTGGGCGGCAAATGGGCGTCTGGAGGCCGCCTCTGCTTGGATGTCCCCCGTGCTGCTCTGGCGTCCAGCAAGTTTTCTCCCAGCGAAAAAGGTATGATTCGTGCTCTGGCGTGCAACGCCATCTGGACTCCTGATCGTGCCATTGCCTGTGGATACAAAGTTTGTTCTAAGTGCATCCATTGTGGTGAGGCAGACTCGTTGCACCATCGGCTGTGGGCCTGCCCGCATGTGAGCGATCTGAGAGCGGAGCTTGCTAAGGACTGGATCATTGCTGCCGCCCGTGACACTGAGGCTGAGGACTACTCGGACCTCCTGTTCTGCTTCGGGGCTTTCGCCCATCCCGCCGATACCCTTCCGAGGCCGTGCCTCGAAGGCAATGTGGTGTTCCGCTGGCATCGTGATCTGCTCGAGGGCCCCGAAGGCTTCGAGGCTCCCCAGGAAGGTGCTGTCTGGGGGTCGCTGTTTCTCGACGGGTCTTGCAGGCGGCACATAATTCGGGAACTCAGCCGTGCGTCGTGGGCTATCACGATGCACAATGACAGCGGGGATCTTTTAGGGGAGGTTATGGGGCCTGTGTGGGCCCAATACCCTCAGACCCCGCAGGCTGGCGAATACTTAGCGCGTGGCATGGCTGGCAATATGGCCAAGTACCCTTCCACCCTGTTCTCTGACTGTTTGAATGTGGTCAAGCATTCTAAGTTGCCTCCTGGCGAGCGCCTCTCGGGTAAGAGGGTGTACAGTGGCATAATCATGGAAGCCAATGCTCGAGAAGGCACGTGCATTCAGGATATTGTTAAGGCTTCCGCTCACAAGGATTTAGACGAAGCTGGCATCGACCACTTCGAAAGGTTTTGTCGCAAATGCAATAATGATGCGGACGCGGCGGCCAAAGCCGCGCTGTCGTTTCATGCGTCAGATATTAATGAGAGTGAAGATCTCAGCAAGAAGATCGACATTGCTAAAGCAGTGTGTCGACTAGGGGCCAAGCTTCTCTTAGAGTGGCCCCGATTGGATTTATCTGATGCCGATTATATTCCGCCAGCCCCCAAGCCCAGGTTTTCCTGGGACAAGCCTGGGCACGACTGGGCCCCTTGGTCCGGTGCGTGGCGCTGTAGAGTTTGTTTGTTGGGTTCCAGGGGATCTGGCGTCCCTGATCCCGGCATATGCTCTGGCAGGTGCAAGCTTGATGAAGGTGTGCTGGTGTCACTGCGGCATCGTGTTTTGGCCTTCTCCTGCAGTGACGGTTCACATCTTTTTGTTTGCGTGAAATGCCGCTACCACAGCACAGGTGCTCGTGTGGACGGCCTAGGGAAGGTGTGTAAGGATCGGCCCTCCAGGAACGCCGAGTATTCTTGGAGGCACCTCTGCCGAGGAGTGCACCCGAACCCCAGGAAGCGAGCTGTGACGGTGAATACTCACCAGATCTGTGCACTGTTTGGTTCCCAGGCCGAGGAGGCTCCCTCGTGCCGCAGGGCCGAGGAGGCCCCAGCTGGGAACCACATGGCGGAGGAGGAGGTGGCCCCCCTTCCTCGGTCGAGCCTCCCCCCCCCTCGGAGGAGGAGGTCCGTCAGGCCTGTCAGGCCCGAGAGCGCAGCGTCTCCTCTCAGTCCCTCCGCCGTCTCCAAGCCGCTCGGAGTGGCGGTGAGGTAAGGAGGGACTTGGATGCTGACTCGGGTTCTTCTGACTAATTTTATCCTGCCACCCTTGTGGCTCACCTCCTTGCCTCAGTGGCACGGAGGACGCAGCAGCGATTTCCCAGCCGTCGCTGCTGACAGGAGAGGCTGTGCGGGCGTTGAGCTCAAAAAATCCTCCTCCTCCTCCTCCTC